CTTAGAGAGGCCTGAAAGGCCTATGAAGCGGTATATAAGTCTACTGCTATTGCTATTGCTATTCTTATCCTTATTCTTGACCAGTATTGGTTCGGGGGACTCCCTGAATAAGGAAACCCGAGTAAGGTGCAACTGATTTAGCATCCACCTGCCAGTTGCACAACCACACCAATCTTCTGGTAGCAATTGACGAAGCCAAAGCTCGGGATGCGAACTTCACCACTGTAAGGGTGGCGTCCGCTGAGAACTGAGTCACAGCCAGCAGTTTATTGAAATCCTGCTGAAGGCGGACATCCTGGGGGCGAGAGCCTTTCCTGGATATGTTGTAACCACAACAAGGAAGTTCTATTAAAAAACAAGGCAGCTGAGGCAGCTTTAATTGCCCAGGCAGCCGATTGGAAGTTCTTCCGAAGGGTGAGTTCTGCCTTTTTGTCCTCCGGTTTAAGATTGTCTGCAATGTCCCCTGCCACTAGGGCGGAAGATGTGGCCAGGGTCATCACTGGTGCATCGACTGTTGGGATCTGAAGGATCTTAGAGAATGCTTGGTCCATGTTATAGAACCGGCGGTCATTGCTCCCTGGTTCTTTACTACTTCGGAAAATAACTGTGAGGCAGGAATTTCCTCCTTGTCCAGTTGGGCCTGAGTAAAGAGGGCATCGCCCCAAGCCAACTGGGAAGGCTGAGTCACTGGTGTCTGGGCAGGTGGGACCTGGGAAGGTATCTCTAAATCAACTGTTCCCCAGGCCTTGTGAAGGAGGGACTTAAGCAACAAAGGAGGAAAGCAACCCGAAAATGTAGAGGATCTGGGTTGGATGAATCCTCATCCTCCGATATATGTAAGTCCCTCTGAGGCTCCTCCCCCAACAGAAAACTTCACTAGCCACTCAAGGTGAAGCAGGCCTGGCCTCCATGGGAGCCCTGGCCTCCCTGCTGTGGATGGAGTTATGCCCTTTGTTCCCAAGTTGCTTGGCTGGGGCCTTGTCCTTCTGGCATAAGCCAGACACAATGTCATGGGAAATGGCCTGCGCAATGATTTTCTGCATGTGCTCAGGAATGTCCTTCATGAAGTCCTTGGGGGAGGGATTCATGTCTGGGAGGAAAATCATCTCTAAGGATTGAGGGTCCCTGTGGGCCAAGGGAGCATGTGGGATCATGTTGGACACAGAGCAACCAAATGGATCCCCCTGGAGTTTCCCCACATCTCTCCCAGACAAGGGAGGAGACAATGAAATTTCCCTTCCCCTCCTGAAACGTTTGGGGGAAGGAGAAAGGGAAAGAACCGCCCTTCCTCTATCAGTAGATCTGGATCTTTGGACAGGTGGGCTAACCCTGTGGTTTGCAGAGGCTATTTGTCTCTCTGCTCTAGCTATCCTCTTTTCTGGGCCCTCTGCCTGCGTTGTTATCCCTCTCCACTGCTTTGGATTGGTGTTGAACCACAGGTGCCCTGCCTTGTTTGGACTTCGACGTGGCCTTCCTGGGAGGGCTGCTCTGGCTCTGGGCGCTGGAAGTGCCTGCCTGCCTATTGGGGCTGTTGTTGGCCACGGCTGTGCCTGGCTCTCCACTCATGGTCCTTTGTGTTAACAGCAGTGCTCCAATTATGTCCTTGGCTCTGGCAGCCTTCTGCGGCTCTCTCTCGCCTCTCTGCTTGTTGCCGCCGCAATTTCAAAGCAATCAGCTTATCTCTAAGCCAATCGCAGCGCTTTCCACGTGGCAGAGCTTAAAATGGCCACCGTGATGTGGTCCGGCTGTCAGAGCTCCAAAATGGCCACTGTGCATTGCTGGAGAAGTTTGCTGAGGCGCCGCTGCTCGCTCCTGCTGCTTGTTTAAAGGAGCTGTCACGTTCTGAGCATGCGCTAAAATAAAGAGTTTAAGCGGGAAGCGCTCGACACCCGATTGGCTGATCATTTGACAGCTCCTGTATAAAAAGGGAGCTGTCCAAACGAGCAGCGCGCATTCCTGTCTAAGAGCCGGTTCTGAAAGTTAGCCTGTATTTGTTAGGGAATAAAAATTGTTAGCCTTTATTCCAGTCTCCGCCTCAGTTCTTCTGGCTACCCACGGTC